ACAACTGCCCACAACCTCTCATTTCTTCCTAACACCATCTCCTCCATGTCACCCTCAGCTAGGAAGCCCAACTCGCCGTTTCCCATCTGGGTCCCACTCGACAACCTGGACTGCAGTGTGACGTCCCCCAATGGTCTTCTCACTTCATGCCCAATACATCTCCACTCTCTTCTTTCGCATATATGTTGACCGATAGATTTTTCCTTCATTGGTTCGTTGTCGGGCCAGAGTTCCTTGTTGCTTATTTTGATTACTCTGGCCATATGAGCTTCAGTAACCAGCTAGCGTAGACAGTTGTTGATGAATATCTCTAGTTTGTTGGAAATCCCTTTCGTAACGCACCAAGTCTCTCAACCATCACATAGAAGCACTGACTTGACTGGATTGGTATTGAAAATCCAGATGTTGTTCACGCTTATGCTGAGTGGAGTGTTGTGCAGTAGATCCCCACACCGATTTCAAATTATTGAAGGAAGGTCTGTCTTTCTGTCTTTCCGATCCTGGCTTGTTCTGATGTCCTCGTCTGTGCCTGTGCCGCCTGTAGTTGAAACGATGCCGCCTAGGTACGTGGGTAGGTGAAAGAGACTACTTGCTTTAAGTGATTGGAGCTTGTTGTTGGCTGGGTATCACCTCTGTCTTCTCTATGTTCACCTGAAGTCTCGAGTAAAATAACAATTTTATATTATTTAGCCTGAATAACATTACTTACTTCTGTTAAATTCAAGAACAGAAGGAATTCTTGCGGATTACGATACATTGGTCATTTGTGTAAAGTATGTAGACAACTTAATACAGACTGAAACTCGATATATATATATATATATATATAGCAGTAATTATCTTTGAATGTGTATGATAAATACAGTAAGACAGAATAGCTGAATGAAAGTGATAGGAAATTATATCTCCTAGTTATAACTCAGATATTATCAGTGAAAATGGGCTTTAATTAACCGTATCTTTCAAGCATGGAATTCAGTTCCAGGCAAAAACTTTCATTTGTTTCTCACCATTTTTACCAAAATATCATTTCATCATTTAAAATAGTCCTATCAACTACCAAGTAACTATTAAACATGAATTTTTTCAAATTTTTATTCTTTATAGAAATTATTATTTCTATCAATAGAATTTTTACTAGTAAACTATCGTCTAGATATTCAATGTTGAGATAAGCAAATTCTTCATGATACGTTGGACTCAAAAACTGATGAGTCATCGATTAAGCCACATTAAATCTCTTTGATTGATGAAGGAATAGAAGTTAAACAATGCGGTGGATAACAATCAAGTTCTCAGCCTATTAAACTTCTTCAGTAGTAAAATAGTCTCATTGTTCTCACTCACACCAAAGTAGATTGCACAATATGAGCTTAGAGTCCGATTATCAGTCCACTGCACAATAAAACGGGTAGGACGATAGTCTTTAAATAAGGTATACCTTGCACTAAAGTCGTCATTTGCAAAATGTGCTTCGTTTTCTGTTCTGCTTCTCTCTCTTGACTTGCTCTTCACACATTCTTATCAGCAACACCTAGTGTAACACGCTTGTATTATCCCTTGTGTTGCTCTTAGCAGAATTCTTACCCATTGCTGGTAATTCTTTATGATTTCTGCCACCTTCTCAACATATACTACTTATATCCATTCTTATCAGCAACGCCCGCTACAATACGATAGAAATCTTTTCTAGATTTTGTATCCTTCTACAGTTTACTATTATACATTTGACTTGTTGTCTATGCACTTCAAATCTAGTCGAAACTAAAACACTAGAGGACATGATAACTTAAGCTTTCTTTATCAATTACAGACAACAGAACTGAACTGGTTCACTGAAATTTCTATGCATTCAGCACAAAGTAATATGATGGATTAAAATTATCTAAACTGCATTCATAAAGTTATGAGTTTATACTGATATAACTATGTACCATACATTTTGTTTGAATTATTCATCATCTAGCGAATAATACTGACTGTTTCAATGTATAACGAAATTACAATGAATGAAACTTAAATTCAGAAATATTATAAAACCATTATGAATTTTTAAAAATATTCCTTGAATCCTAAAACAAATAGGTTTGTCAAAAGGAAATTACTACTTTAATAATGAAGGATTGAACATAGATTCAACCTATCAACCAATAAGAAAAATGATAAATGACAGAAAGGTCAGAGTTCAAGTAGATGAAAAACCACCAGGAAAATCTATACGTTCAGTGACACAACAGTCAAAGGAAACAACCAATCATAGATCACATCGTCAAAGCAAATTACTAAATCACTCATGAAGAGATACTGACAGCTTATTTCATATGGAAGTTAGTGCTGATGATGTCGTCTAAATCCATGATGAAAGCCTTATGATTAAACAACCCAGTTAAGAGAATATAATAACAACCAAGACCATCCACCTGAGCTACAAATATATATATATATATATATATATATATATATATATATAATCTAAACTGAAAGTTAACATCAATTTGTGTTAATTTCAGGTTGGTACTCACGATGAACTGATATTTATCGAAGAAACATTGAAGACTTATTTGATCGCATAAGACTCAGCAGTGAGCACCTCTGACCCATCTAGGGTTCGAACCAAGAGCCTTTAATGTTCCGCGGCTAACACGTTACCGTTGAACTGAAGGTTTTGAATATTTCTCCAACTGATATCAGTTCATGATGAATGCCAAACTGAAATCAATAGAAAAAATCCCTATACACCTCTGAAATGAATTAATTTAGTACTCATTATTGAAATAATTCAAAAGGTGATTCTCGAAATTTTAATGAGAAATCGTGATTTTTGGTCCCAACAAAATCAAACATGAGGAAAGGTACTCAAGCTTCCATATTCACTTTGTATTTTTATTTATCATTATTTGTCCTTTGGGTTCCTAGTGGAACATAGGGCTTTAGTAGCATGTCAGCATTTCACTCTCTTCTCTGCAGTCTTTCCAACCTGGCCCCACCACTCCTCATAAACCCTCACTTCTTCCTGACATCATCTCCTCCATGTCATCCTCACACGCCTAACTAATAGTTTTCCATTTGAGTTCCACTTGACTGTCTGGTTTGGCGCACGATACTGCCAAATCCAAGCCAATCCATCTACATTCTTCTTCTGCGTATTTGTTGGGCGATGGGTTCTTGCTTCGTTGGTCCATTGCCATCCATCTGATCTTCAGTTTGGAGTGGGCGTAAGTGTAGGTGGCACCCGCTGATGTATGTGTGTAGTTTGCTGGATATGCTTATTAATAAGGCACTAAATCTCTCAAGCATCACATAGAAGCACTGACTGACTTGACTCAATTAGTATTGAAAATCTGGATCTTGTTCACGCTTTATGCTAAGTGGAGTGGAGTGCAGTTGGGTAGAGTACAGTGCAGTAGATCTGCACACTGATTTCAGATTGATAAAAGGAGGCCTGCTTGTCTTGATGTTTTTCTGATCTTGGCTGGCTTTCACATGCTCATCTATGCCGCCACCGCCGCCTGTATTTGGAACGATACTGTCCAGGCAGGCAAGTGAAAGAGACTTCCTTCAGATTTCCCCCATTCATGGTTATTGATGCTTGTCGTTGTTGTTGATGTCATCTTGGTCGGTTGGATATCTTCATCACCTCTGTCTTCTCTACATTCACCCGGAGCTAGTCTCATCCTCCCTCGATGCATCGCCTCGCCTCACCTCTTCTACCAACTTGTCATTTCCTGCCTGCACATCTTCGAGTTTGTGCGACATAAAACATTAGACATAAATCATCATCATCATCATCATCGGCGGCGGTGGTGGCGGCGAAATCCAAATCTTCTTCTGGGTTCCCCTCATCCATCCAGTCAGCATGTGCCTTACTTCGCACAACTCCTCACAGTTGTCTGTTGCATCATCCAGTCCAGTCCACTCCAGTCCACTTCAGTCGACCACAATCAAGAAGATGATCAGTGATGATGGTGGGCGACAGGCTTGTCTCACTCCATCCTGTCTTCACTTCAAACGCATCATCACTGAACTTTCCATTGTGTTGTGAATCACTCGGCATGTGTCATCATATAGCATAGCATAGCATAGAGTAGCATAGCATAACATAGCGTATAGCTGGTGTTGAATGAGTTTGATGGAGGTTTGTGGCACTAGAAGCGTAGTGTTGGAGCAGGTGCATGTCAAATTACTTCTCAGTGGACGCCTTGATTGAATGCTTTTTCAGAGTGGATGAAGTTGAGGTGAAGATGCAATTGATTGAGATTCTATGATGTGTTGTATAATGATGCTTAGTTTGTTGTTGTTGTAATGTGATCCTCTCATGACTTGTCTTTTCTGAAGCTAGTCAGCTGGCCAACCAGCTAACCTGTTCCAGTCCTAATCCATTTGAATCCGGAGAATTTTTGTTTTCTCCAGGTTGATTCGGCCTTATATCTTGCTTCGTATGGACAGTCGTAGAGCATAATTCTGCGTCAGTTCTTGGAAAGACTTATGTCAACCTACCCTGATAGTTTGACAAAATAGTTGTTTCTTCTAATCGGCAGATACCTCTCCTTCCTTCCAAACCTTGTGTAATAATGTTGTGAGCATGTCCACTGATATCATTCTGTCTGCTCTCAGGGCTTCTGTTGGACTATTTGGAACTCCAATCAACCAGTTTAGAACAATTCATTTGAGCACTTTTTCAACCTCAGTGTTGTTAACAGTATGTGATGTATGTAATTTGGTTCTATTTGTAGTTGAGTATATGAATCTCCCATGAAACTCAAAGTTCTATTGAACACTTATTTACGGCTTTCTAGAGTATTTATTTTGATATCCAGTGGAAGCTATACTCAGATCTGTTCTTCACTAAATAAGTCATCACCAATAAAACTACACTTGTACTCACATCTTTCAATCGAATACATTTATCGTATATGTTTACGCTGTTTCTGAATTCTAGCCACATAATAATAACCCTTTATCTCTTTAACGGGAAACTTTCGAATACCACGCATATATAGATGCCGACTTCTATGCAGACTCACCATTCAATGATAATAAAGATGTGGATCAATAGTAACAATAGTGCGTATAATAATAATAATAATAATAATAATAATAATAATAATGGTATTGAAGGTCATGAGAAGCGTACCGAAAACAATGAAAATTCGAACAAATGTTTCAATCATCATGACCTTACAAATCGTCGTATTAAGTGATAATGAAATTGCTTTTGATATGTTTTCATTTTCTCACCTTATGTGTTAACAAGTGGATTCAGACTATTATTTAGTAAAGTAAACAGTGTCTTATTGTATATCGATCCAAAAGCTTCAATTTTTCCTCTACTGTTTATTTTCGGTCATATACTGAATTAAACCGAAACATTCAGAAGCTCATTACATCTAACTGAGGTTTTGTAATGTAATCTCAACTTATCCCATAGATATGACAGACATTAATCCATCTACAACAATCCTAAATATTTGGATGGCTAGTAACCTTGCCTTGAACAGGGAATTCTGATCAGATTACACTTCCTTCTATCAATATAAAATCTACCTTAGTTTTCACCTTTTCATCTTCTTACCACATTAGTCTTTACGTTTTATTTATAAACTTCTTTCATCCTTTATTATTGAGCAGTTCCATATTTTCAGGACTTAATCTACAATAGTGAGTAAAATGTTTCTTCCAGTTTAGATACCAATGATAGGTAGTGGCTAACAATGGAATACAGGACGCATATTACATCCTCTCTAGGACTCGTCCGCTGCGTGTACCTGCCTTCCAGTAAGTGATGTTGTTGCAGGGACACTCGAACCAGAGCGCTATCCAATGGACCACTGATTTAAAATAGTCACCCATTTTATGATAAGTATGGTATGGTTTTATGTGATTGTTTGTGTATCTCCGTCGTCAATTGAACAAAATAACCGACCAGTATTGGTATATGCGTTGCTCTGTGGATGTCTTGATACTGTCGGAATTTTCAATTATTATTTTGTTCTCAGTACCATTACTGTTTAAAAAAATCCATAATTCATGACCTTAGTTTTGCGAAATTATTGAAAAGGAACGTTTACAATCCCTTCTCTTACAGATACTTCCTTCTAGGAATAATAACGTTAGACCCAGTTGACAAGTACTGAATCTAAAAATCTGTTTACTGATGTTTCAGGAAAATTACGGCCTTTTACTACTGATTTAACAAAATATTCCAAATTTTCTCCCCACTCATTTGATGATCTTGTCAACTTTGTTCTGTGTAAATTGTGATATAAACAATCACATGATATTTCGACTATAAATGACAATTTCAGATGGATATAACAACGCATGCTTTATCATACCAACTAAAAGATGAATAATGAACATTATGGATCAGATACTTTCATGTTATTTTGGAAGACGTAGGTTATTTGAAAAATGTGATGTATTAGAGCTATACATTTCGAACAGTCTGATCACACATTTATTTGTTAAGGCAATTTATATATGAAAACTGGAAGTGGGGGAAGGACAAATAATGACATAAAGGAATTCAATCATAAGAAGGATAATGAGAGGAAAAGAAGATAAGATTTGAAGGCAATCTTGGTAATATGATAAAATAAGCATTATCAAGGTAGTTTTAATGTAAGGAAAAACTGTTTTTGCACACTCAGTGGGGGGTTAAATTTATTTATGGCTAGCGCCTCAACAAACTTAAGTATACGCCCCTGACAGTTTCTATACAAAATTGTAAAGGCTGTCTTGATATCAATCCTGTGACTCTTATTAATGATATGTTTTGCAATGGATGATGATGATTGTCTGTCATCTGCACTTATCAATGTTTGTGAATCCAGCTGCTTTCTAAGCCACTTTTGGAACATGTTCCCCTACCCTCAAGTGTATATCACGATTAGTCCTCCCTATGTATGTTTGTCCACACACACACACATGTAAATTTATAAACACAGTGGGATGTGACGCAATCGTTTATGCAACGTTGAGGTCTAGGTTGCAGCAGGTGTTTGGTCTTTTCAACTACGATAAGCTTAGCTGCATAGTACGTTTTGCTAACAGCAGACCTTAACCTTCGTTTTAATATTATGCTGTTAGATTCTCCTCTGTATGGTAATGTAATGTAAAAGTATTTATTTGAAACAGAGTACAGATTAGGTTTGAACCCTTGCTGATTTTCGTAGCGGTTTGTGAACTTCAATAGATATCCATTTTCCACAAATGTTCCTGTTAGTATTTTTGGTATCATCATCTATTGAGTCTTCCATACAAATACTCTGGATCCTTTTAAATAGGCAAGTTACCAAACCTCGTTTGTATTAGATTGGGCAGAGGTATGGAAACTAAAATACTGACCTGTCCAAGTAGGTTTCCTGTAGATCGACCGTTTTATTGAACCATCATTTCTACAACTCAGGAGTTTATCCAAGAATGACAGATGGTTTTCTTTATCTTCTTCACATGTTAGGCTTATGTTATTTTGTACGCTGTTAAGTCTTTCTAACAAACATGTCGCATCTTCATGCTTATCACATATCACGATTATATCATCAACATATCTTTTATAGAGAGTAACTTTATTGATGAGATCGCCAGTCAAGCCTTCAATGTGTGACATGTAAATATCAGCTAGCAATGGTCCTAAGAGACTTCCCATAGTGCCATCATCTGTTTGTCGAAAATGTTCACCTTCAAATGTGAAGTGAACTTTTTCAGCACACAATAATAACAGTTCTCTCAAACACGTTGAGGGGATAGGGAAAGAAGGATTACTGGAAGATATATGGTCATAAAGAATGTCAATGGTTTTGATTAGAGGTACATTAGTAAATAAGGAGTTGACATCAAACGCATACAGCCTCTTATCTTTGATATTAATATCACTGACATAACCAACAAGTTCAAAAGTATCCTTTTAAGAAAACTTACATAATTCATTTCGAATAGGAATTAAAGTTTTTGAGGGAGTTGTGGAGATTTGGAAATATTTCAAGTTGTTATTCATCGAAGACTGACATCAGTTGGAGGAACAAAGTTTTTGCTAATCATTTCGCCACTTTATATGTAGGTGAACAGAACATGGAGAGTATAGGACGTGAAAGATTATCTTTCTTATTATTGAATTCCTTTATGTCATTATTTGTCCTTCCCCCACTTCCAGTTTTCATATATAAATTGCCTTAACAAATAAATGTGTGATCAGACTGTTCGAAATGTATAGCTCTAATACACCACATTTTTCAAATAACCTACGTCTTCTAATTACATTATCCAAATTCATAAAAGGGACTAATTGTTTCAAATTTCATGTTATTTGTTTATTTAACTGGCACTAAATGGACTACATCAACCATATAACTTCTCAACGATTAAATTTTTTTCTAGCATGTATTAGTTTTGAATTATAACCTGAGAACAGTGGCTACTGTTTAAAACCTTAGGTGTATATGTACAATAATAACAACCAATTAGAAGTAAAACTGCTCAGTACTTCTACTCATTCTCCTGTTTCTTAACTCTGGCGGTCTGCGTGCAGTTTAGACTACCAAAATTTCCCACCAACCATATGCGTCAAATTCTTCGCTTCCAATTTGTTTTAATCATTTACCTATGTCTTCTAAGATTACCATTTACTCTTGCACAGTTTTAAAATGTTTTCAGCTAACCGTTTCTGGAGTAGATAACGAAACAGAGAAAAAATATCAAATTCAATGAAAATTGACCATTTGTTATGAAAAAATTCATCATATTTCCACTTCTGCGAAGCTTAGCTCGAATGGTAGATTCTTGTATTGGTTGAATGAATCATCACCACGAAACTTACATTCTATTTTCTGTATATTCTTTATTCTAAATTGGAAGTTAATCCAACACCAGCTGACTGTCCGACATTATTCCCTTTAATAGTACTAAAACTAACACCAGTCGGATGCAAAAATCATTTCGTTCGAATATATATTTTTCTGCTAGTGAAATTACTGAGGACTCCATACTCTATGATGATTGTGACTTTCCTGCCTTTCGAGTTGAATCTTGCTGTCATGATCCTGATCCTGCAGGAGGAGATTGGCTCCCACTACTTGAGAGAGAGAGAGAGAGAGCCTTAGATGTTCTTCGGGACATCATGATAGCCACTACAAAACTCAGTGTACTGGTGGTTGTCGTCTGGGTGACATTATCGGAGTAGATTATTGATTCTCCAGTTAACAGTTTTGAGAGTCCACTTCCATTCCATCTGCAGATTCCTCACAGACTTCTACCACTTCCATGCCATACCTTCTCATCTTTTTGGCAATCTGGACAGCCTGTGTGAAACATGGTGCAGACATCCTGTGTTCCTACCCTATGCTTGCTTTCGCTTTCATCGAGAGAAGAGAAGACACATTGGCCAATTGGCTTCCTGAAGTCTTTCACCAACCGGCGTCATTTTGTCTCCCCAATTCCAGGCAGGAATAAGTTTTTTTTTTATTTTTAATATTTTCTTTGTGCTTTGAAGTTTGTTCAGCAATTGTATTGGTTTTTCGTGGTAGGCTTGCTAGCCCTATGCCCAACTTTCCCACTTTAGACAGACTTAGAACTGGCTAGTAACTAGTGAACTAGATACACCACAGTTCTATTGGCTGCTGTTAAACAGTCAATACCGAATTATCTAGCAGTCAAAATATGCTTAGAAAACAGTTCATTCTGAAAATTATACATACATTTTTAGGATACATATATACATTCGCATCGCTTATTCGTTATATTCGTATCATTTATGATCAACATCCAGAAGTGGAAGATTAAACTATTGCTCTCTAGTCATAAAATTATGCTTACACTTCCTTAACAATCGATTCAGACAGCTAAACTTTACCAGCTACTATAAAATATAAAACATACAACACAACATGGCATCCCACTGGATAGACTGACTGAGATACTTGTTAACTTTCTTCTAACGAAACTAATTTACTGAAATTTAGAAGGACATCATCGAGTTTTGAAGTGTTATCAATTCATTTCTGATAATTATCTATCTTTAGGTGTATACTACAAGTAAAAATGAACAAAAAGTAGTAAGAAACCACAATGTTTATCTTAGTATTTATTCCGTATTTTCAACTTTATGTGATAACGTGCTAGCCATGGAACCTGAAGGTTGTGGGTTCTAACCATGGCGGGGTTGTAGGAACGCACTGCTGAGGAGTCCCATACTAGGACGAAGCAG